GTAGTTTACATTTAGTTTACGTTACAATTACGTCTAGTTTACATTTAGTTTACGTCAAAATTACGTCTAGTTTACATTTAGTTTACATTTAGTTTACGTTACAATTACGTCTAGTTTACATTTAGTTTACGTCACAAATACGTCTAGTTTACATTTAGTTTGCATTTAGTTTACGTTACAATTACGTCTAGTTTACATTTAGTTTACGTCACAGTGACGTCTAGTTTACATTTAGTTTACATTTAGTTTACGTTACAATCACGTCTAGTTTACATTTAGTTTACGTCTAGTTTTCATTTTACAATAGCTAATACTCAGTTTTCGTAGAGATTCCTTTGACAGTAAGGCTCAAATAGTGTAGGTCGGTCGTGATTAGTTTTAAAGGGGGTAAATTTCTAAAAAAACTGTGGTGCTGCGTCGGTGTGGGTAAACTGTGTTGATAATGTAGAAAGTTTCTAAAGCGGATGTTTCAAGTGTTAAGGGTTAACGCTCGAAACGTGATGGAGGCAGCGTGGCCGAGTGGTTAGGGTGCTGGACTTGTAATCCGGTGTCCCGGGTTGAAGTCCCCCACCCTGCCACTCACTGGATTTGTTCTCGGTTGCCCCTCGCTCAACTCCTCGGCTGCGCTCTGTAAATAGCCCACTGGTGTACCTCCTGCCAGTGGGGATTTTCAAGTACTTAGTCTACATTGTGGCTGAAAAGCCCCTATGGGGAGCTTCAATCAACGTATTTATTATTTATTTTTTATTATTAGTTGGTCTCGACCCGTCGGCAGAATTAGCAGGGCTCGACACTAACTTGTCAACTTACTAGCCAAGTGGTTGATGATAACTTAGATGTTATGACAATTTCAGTTTGTTTGCTAGCCAAACTGGCCAGTAGAAATCGAAAATCACTAGCCTAAACAAAATTTCTACTAGTCTGCGGCTAGTTGGCTACCATTAGTGTCGAGCCCTAAATTAGGTCGTTCTGCTTGGTTCGTTCGTAGTGTATATGTCTTGCTTTAAGGCGTTTGTATTGTGCTGATAGTTGCTCAAAACAATTGGGAGGAGTCTGGTCTAAGTTGGTCAGTAAAATAAGCTTTTTCTTACAGTGAAACGAACTCAACCGGGCCATCATCAAACGTTTTTTAGCCGATCACAAGACAAGTGCGGAACAAAAGAATGGGAGTTCGTTCACCAGCGGTCAAATTAAACTGCTCGTTTGACTGGAGTCGATGTGAAGACATGCGAAAGCTTCTAGTTTTTTTACGGTGAAATAAACATGTTGTTCATTTCGTTTACGGTAAAAGCGAATAAATATTTACCTAATAGCGGCCGGTAATTTTGAAGACTGAACAGCCTCAACGTACGCCATGAATAATGCTGGGTAAACTAATGACATTTATTTTTCGAAACACGTTCTGGAATGTCGGGGACAAGAACTTGTATAATTTACCAAGTATTGCCGCCGGGAATTTTGAAGGCTGAACGAACTCAACGTAAATAAATTTACCAAATTACGGCCGAGTAAACTTTTCTAACAAATATTTTTCGAAATAGGGTATGGAGTTTTGAGGAAGAAAGCTTATGTAACTTACCGAAATTGTGGCCGGGAAGTTTGAAGACTAAACGGACTCAGACGTAAAGAAATTTCCTAAATTACGAACGGGTTAACTTATGAAATATATTTCGAGACACGGTCTGGAATGTCGAGGATGAAAGCTTATATAATTTACCGAATATTGCGGCTGGGGATTTTGAAGACCAAACGGACTCAATACAAATGTATTTAGCGAATTGACACGGCCTGAAATTTTGAAGACCAAACGGTTTTACCTCAAATCAGTAAATGTTTGAAACACTTCCCGACTTTGAAACTACAACGCAAACGGAATCAACCGCCGGTAATACATGCAAAAACTAAATTTGAAATTTTCTTTGTCCTTGTGATTGGTTACTAAAATTCCCGATAAAATTGTAGATACGGCCGATTTTCAATAATATTTTGAAAATATACTTGTGTTGCGCCGGTTTCGTCTTGAAAATTCCCGGCCATAATTGGGTAAATATTGAATCCGTTTCGCCTTCGTCATTCCATTCCAGGCAGTCATTAGGAAAATATATTTTATAGGTTTAACCGGCCGTAATTTGATAAATTTACGTTGATCGAGCCCGTTTCCTGTTCAAAATTCGCGGCCGCAATATTCAGTATCTGACATAAGCTCTCGCCTTCGGCATTCCAGGCCGTGTTTCGGAAAATTTATAATATAAAGTGAGTCGGCCGCAATTTGGTACATTTACCTTTAGTCAGTTTAGACTTTGAAATTACCGGCCGCCATTCGGTAAATATTTATTCGCCTTTACCGTAATAGAAATGAAAAATATTATATATTTTTTGCTTTAAAAAAAACAATAAGCTTTTGCATACCTTCGCATCAGATCCAATCAAACGAACAGTTAAATTTGACCCATATTGTGATTGGTCCGCTGATGAACGAACTTCAATTTTTTTGTTCTGAACTTGTCTTGTGATTGGCTAAAAAACGCAGGGTGGCCCCGGTTGAGTTCGTTTCACTGTAAGTTTGGATTTATGTTTATCATCACTTTGCCAAAACTTTGTCATATGTTACACATGATGCAAAATTACTTGAAAACAACAATCAATAGAATAGAATGTAAAGATAATCGAAAATAATAAAATAAAAAATAAAAAAAATGGATGAACATATTTACCTTATACCCTAACAATTTGCCACGGGCGGTCTCTCTCGTTTTAGGGACGCCCGTCCATGTTGCATAAGCTGAATTAGGAGATGTAATACGGACATCAAGGTCCCGGGGGGCTCCCACCGGTACTGTGGCAACGAAATGAAATCGTAGATGACATCAACACTAGAAACGTATGACAGGGGGAGTAGGGTGGGGGAGGTTCGAAGGATTTTGGTAGTGTCACCATACCATTTACCTGATCCCCCTATAAAGCTCTGTGTTCTGACCCCCCCTCTTAGGACTGTTAACTGGGAGTCAATTTTCTATAGTCCCACTTTCTACTGTGTTGGCGACAAGTGATCCCCTCTCCGTCCCCCTGAAAACCAGTGTTCGAACAAAGGCATCACAGGGCAGTATCCTGGCGACTTGCATGAAACTAAACATTTTGAGACAATTATGATTTAAAATTACTGCACCTTTTTCTCCTGAGAAAGCGATAACAGCTGGACTCAGTGGTCCAAAGCCGATGTTGTTTGCTGCTTGTATTTGGATCGTGTATTTCACGTAGTAATCAGTGCCGGTGATAGAGAAAGAGGAGCCTTTTCTGACCTCGTCTCTTATCGGCTGCTCTTTGTTGTCCGTTCTTTTGTGATAAACAATGTAGTAGAAACCTGGTCCATTGTAGTGTAAGGGCGAGATGGGTGTCCACGTGATCTTTAGGGTAGTTGAGTTTGTTCCCTCACCCGTCAAGTTAAGAGGATACCTTGTTGGAGCTGTAAATGATGAGCAGAACATCCAAAGTTATACGATAGAAGAGTTTGGCGTAGAGTACTCTTTTTTGCATTGATCACTAAATGTGATTGTCGTGAGCAATGTTAATTTTTTGATAATAATTTTACATATCTCGACTACATGTAAGTACCAGTGCCGACTTATTCTCAGATGTCAATAGTGGTTGTTTACATTGTCAGATTATTGCTACTCATTTATACCCCTGCAGAGTGTACACAGGTGCCGTGGAAAACATTCGTCTTGCCGGAGAACACGACACAGTGGACCATTTTTGAGTAAAAAATGTCACTTTCACAACGAGGCTATGTGCGATACCGTTGTTATGAAAACGGGTTATGTTTGCATGAGACTGAAAAATCATATGATGCACGATCCTCGCAGTAGATAGCGCTATTTAAGCAACAGCGAAAATCAGACCTGAAAAAAATCAGGCCTGTACGGGATTCGAACCACTGACCTCTGCGATACTAGTGCAGCGCTCTACCAATTGAGCTAACAAGCCAACTGGGAGCAGGCCGTTAAGTTGATTCGTAATAAACCCGTGAAAGTGATAAATGAGATACAATGAAATATATGAAGTTCATATATTTTGAACTGCGGTATTAGATAC